ATTTCTGATGTTTCACCACTTAAAAAAGGAAGAAGTGAGTTAATTGAAATGCCTAGGGGGAGGAGGTATTTTAATCGGATCATTATACATCATTTCATTGTTGGGGGTTCAAAAATACGTAACCCACCTTTTCTTTGTCAAACAAGTTATTTCGGCCGAATTAACTCATCCAAATTGTACATCGAAACGACTCGTAAAAATATCAAATAACTCTTAATATGTATTTCATCAAATAACCATTCACAATTTCATTTCATTGAACTTCAAGATTGGTCAATCAATACGGAAAGTTTTATGTTGATATTTGCATTAATAACCGATAACAACAAACTAAACCTAGTTTCATAAAAGATATTTCCATCTTGAAAATTTTGAATATATTAATGTAAGAAATGAAAAAGGTAATTTTTGTTAACATTAGTTGTAATCAGATAATCAAGGCTATAGTTTAAATATTATTGTTGTCAATACTGTAAAGCAAAATACACTTCCATAACCACAACTTTCATGTTTGTGACAATTATAGTTATATCTTTTGAAATACACGAAATAGCCAGAATTTTTATAGTTGTATGACAAATCTAGCCATTTTTGTGACAAACTTTATTGGTGTTAGAGATTTTGTCAGTTAGGTTAACATCACGCTAACTAGGATACTAAATTGTGGCACACGTCAGCGACAACTCAGCCTCACTTGCCACGTAAATGCCACATCATAATTTACTTTCAATTATTTTAGGGGAAAAAAATGCATTCATAGCCACAACCTTCATGTTTGTGACAATTATAGCCACAACCTTCATGTTTGTGATAATTATAGCAACAATTTTCACGTTTGTGACAGTTTTAGCCACAACTTCTGAATACAAGAAGTAGCCAGAATTTTGATGGTTGTTTGAAAAATCTAGTCATTTATGTTACCATCTTTCGAAATACACAAAGGATTCGCGACCTTGTCCTCGATTTCTTCTTGGGACTATATTTGAGAAGGAAGGCAATAAATCAGGCCAATTGACTGCGACGAATCGGGCTTCACCAGAAACAAGAACAACCACAAATGCGATGATTTCTAGGAATTGGAGGGGGGAAATGCACTACGAGCTACCACATCCTTCCTTTCCGACCAACCAGTCTCTGTCGCCACCGGAGACATTGTTAAAGGGATATATGGAAATGGCTATTTTGTGTATTTCTAAAGCTGTGGTTATAATTGTCACAAACTGAAAGTTGTGGCTATGGAAGTGTATTTAGATTTTTTTAATACACGTAGATCGCCAACTCAACATTTATGTCAGTCTAGTCATACTGTTAATTGACACTGTTAAAGGGATGGACGGAAGTGGCTATTTTCTGTATTTCGAAAGTTGTGGCTATAACTGTCACAAACGTGAAAGTTGTGGCTATGAAAGTGTCTTTTGCATACTATAAACTATTTATGCATTTCACCCAATCAAGGTAGGGGTGGGCATCGATTCTATGAACTGAACCGAACAAGGCTATATCTCTATTAGTTCTTAAGGCTGAAACTGATTTTGAACCAAAATATATAACGGTTTGAACCTAGAAACCGACCAACCTGAGCTTCTCTCTATGCTCGCTAATTCTTATTCTCTCATTGAAGACCCACAAAATTAGAAACCCCCAATTTTCTCCTCTGCTCTCTCACCTCCTCCTCTTCCTTCTCCCGTCTCCGACAACTGAATCAGTCACCGACCTTAGAGATTTGACTCGGCCTCTCACCTCCCTTTGTCGCCTTGATGCTCAACTCTGTAGTCCCTGGAGATCCAACTTCAACATCCACGACGGCGACGCTCAGCTCCCTCCACCGCCCGATTGTGCTCAGCTTTCTCGTCCGCCGTGGTCATACTCAGCTCTCTCCGTCGCTGAGGTCACCCTCTCCCATCTCTACTCTTCCACTCTCCGCCGCCTAGTCGTGCTCAGCTCTCTCCGCCGTTGTGGTCGTGCTCAGCTCCCTCCGTCACCGGGGTCGACCTCTCCCACTATGGCTCTTCCACTCTCTATATGTGTTTGTCGACGGCGAGATTGGATTGAAAGGGAGGCATGACTGGGAAACAAGAACTTTGAGTATGGCTGGGAGGCTATTAGGAAACGAGAAATTTGGGTGTGACTGGGAAGAAATTTGGGTGTGGCTAGAGTTTCATTAGGCCAATGGAGAAACAGAGGTAGAGAGGGGGCTTGGGGTTGTTGGATGTAGCATGTGTATGTGATAGTGGGCTTGGTTGTGGCGTGAGTGTGTGTGAGAGTTGGTTGGGGTTGTGGGCTGTGAGTGTGTGAGAGAGTGGGCTATGAGTATGAGATGGTGAGAAAGTTCAGTATTCGGTTTGGAATTGAAAATTTGAGTTCGGAATCGAATAACAATAATTCAATTTCGGTATGGTTAAGTTTGATTTCGGTCTAGTTTGGATTTACCGAATCGGATGCCCACCCGTTAATCAAGGGGCACCATGAAACTCACTTCATAGGCTCTAGCAACACTGTTGTGCACCCCTACACCCACCACATACCCAATCGATGTAGCAGTTCATTACTTGATTGAGTCGGGGCGTTCAGGCCATAAATACGGGTTTGATTGCCATCCTTAAAAGGTTAGCACCTAATCCGACTCTCACCCTCCACCTTCTCTTTAATCTTAATCATTGGGATGTTGATAAATAAAATGGGTAAATTGCATGGTTGGTCACTCGGATTATTAAAAGCGTTCATGTTCGGTCACTAAAAATATTTAATTCCATTCGTAGTCACTCGAATTAATCAAACAGTTCAAGTTTGGTCACTCTCCGTTACCTTCCGTCAACCTCCGTTAACACCGTCAGTTTTTTGCTGACGTGGCTAACAGAAGTGCCTAATAAGCTAATTTTAACTATAAAAAAACTACGTGACCTGCCACGTCATAAAATCAGCACCCAACCCAATCCAAACCTTACAAAGTACCCAACCTTTACTCGACCCTTCCTCTTCTTCCTTTAGCTGGTCTAACTGCAAAAGGCTAAATTGCAAGTTTGGTCACTCGAATTGCTACAAAATTTCACGTTTGGTCACTCGAATTCAATTATTCCATTCGTAGTGACTTAAATTAGTTGAACAATCCAAGTTCGGTCACTCTCCGTTAACCTCCGTCAGTCTCTGTTAGTGCCGTCAGTTAACTGCTGACGTGGCTAACAGAGATGCCTAGTCACCCAATTAAAAAAAAATCCATCTATCACTTTATTATAACCCAGACACATAAGATACCTGAACCGAATTGAACCCGTGACCCATCCACCCTTCTTCTTCTTCCTCTATACCCTGCTTCCGCCGCCGCCGGAGATTTCCCCTCGATCTCCATGCTGCAGCCCCCGCTGCCGGATCCAGATTCGCGACCAATTCCTTGCCCGGGGCTCCGACTCCATCAGATGAAAACACCCCGGCGCCTGCTCCAGCGGAAGTGGTGAACGGGAACAAGAGTGGCAACGCGATGGCGACGGAGGACAACGAGATCAGAGATTCGTCCAGGATGAGCAGGAAGGCGGGGCTCGCAGTGGGGCTAGTGGTCGCCGGTTCTGCTCCCGATTCTTTTCTCCTTGCCGATTCAACTCCCCTCTCACTGAGCAACGAGAAATGAAAAAGGGTGATTCCCCTCCCCTCTCCAATCTCCTTGCCGATTCACTCCCCTCTCCGATCAATGGTGGAAGTGTAGCAAAGCGCTTTCGTCAACTCCCTCCTCGCCAATGACAAGGTCCTAATTCTTCCTCGCCATCGTCAATCTTCCCTGCATCTGGTTGAGCAGTGAAGAAGAAGACGACCAGCCGTAGGCCAGATTGGGGTTGGTGGGCCAGGGATTCAACGGGCCTGAACCCAGTAGCTGATTTTCCTGGTGCTGTTGCTGTTCTTGCTGCTCCCTCTACTGCTTTTGCTGTATTACTTGCTGGGCTATGGCCATTAGATTGCCGCTGTCGGCGCACATATAGGCCATCCTCAGGCCAAATCTCTCCCGAAATCAAATCGACTGCATTTACACATTAACAAAAGAAAAAAGCCACTGTCAGTTCCCAAATGAGTGAGTTATCATCAGTCAACACAGCGGAAGAGCCGCCGCCAGATTGACGGAGGACAAAAAGGAAGAGGGGTTGAGCTACGTACACTGCAGACTCGGGTTTGGGCTTTCAATTGCAGAGCTTGGGACAGGGAAGAGGAGAGGGAAGGAAAAAGGAGTAAGATTTCTAAGTAAAAAGTTCAGTGCGGAAGCCCTCTTGCCCTGGTAAGCATTTTGGTTTGGAGAGCTTTGTCTGGAAACCTCAAAGTAATCCCGGCGAGGATCCTCGGTCGAGATTCAACTTGTTTAGCTTCTTCCATGAATCAATCTCCGGTCGGAGTTCTTGAGAGAAGATGAGGGAGGGAGATGGAGGAAACAGAGCCATGGCAGAAGAGAGAGAGAGAGAGAGAGAGAGAGAGAGAGAGAGAGAGAGAGAGAGAGAGAGAGAGAGAGAGAGAGAGAGAGTATAAGAAGAAGGAAGAGGAGGAAGAGGAGAAGGGTAATCAGGGATACAATAGGGATGGTCGGAAGGGGTTTTGGTGTGGGTTAATGAGTTTTTTTAGGTTGGTTGGGTTGGGTTGTGTTTATATGAGGTGGCAGGTTTTTCTGACGTGGCGGGTCTATTTCTGTTTTTTCTTGGGTTAAAATTGGGGCATCTCTGTTAGCCACATCAGTAGTTAACTGACGCCACTAACTGAGTCTAACGGAGGTTAACGGAGAGTGACCGAACTTGGATTGTTCAACTAATTTAAGTGACTACAAATGGAATAAACGAATTCGAAATACCAAACGTGAAATTTTGTAGCAATTCAAGTGACCAAACTTGCAATTTAGCCAACTGCAAAAAGAAAAAAAATCCCTACCTCACCAAAATCAAATCCGCCTTTGGCTCTCTTTCTTCCTCCCAGTCTTATCCTTTCTCATCCACTCTGACTTTGCCTCCGCCTCGCTCTCCACTCCCTCAATTCTAAGACAAATCGAGGGGTACAAATTTGCCCTGTTGATCGCGACGCTGGCGGAGGTTTTCAACGGCCGATTCATCCCCCTGCTCCTCCGGCGGTGACTCAGTGAAATCCTGCTGAGAGATTGGGAGTTGATGAGACCGCAACGCTCTGTCGTACGCCAACGCCTCATGGAGGATTTCAACGGCTTCGAACTTGTCGGTTTGTTCCAGAATCGGGCGCTGCCAGAGCTCGATTCCCCATGAGCTGGGCTTCAAGGCGGAAAGCCTGACGAACCACAACGACATCTTGGAGTCAAATCCTTGTGAATTTGCTTTTCTGGTCGATAATATGATTTTCAATTTCGGCAGCGGGGAGTTGGCGGAGTTTACCTAAGAAAAGTCAATAAAAAGTGGAGGGAGATTTCAGGGTTGTTGCTGCTGATATCTTCCCTGCGAACGCGAGGTGAGGATCTAGAATTAGAGATCCCAATAAGTCCTAATCTAGCCCCACTTGTTCCCAATACTCTCTTTTGGGTCGAATGAAGGATCCCAAACCAACCGGAGAAAATATTGGTTTTGTCATCGAAGTCGTGAAGGCCATTCCCGAGTCGTTTTTGTTGAAATTGACATAGTCATAGCTTTAGCTACCGCCGCACATTGTTTAACAATAACAAACCCAAATAATCATTACCTTCCAACCTGGAATCTCGTGGTTTGCCTCAACAAGACTCCATCGACGGCGACGTCAATGGTGAAATCATGTTGTTCTTCGCGAGCTCTAAGTCGGAGCAGGAGATGGTGGAGATAATAAAAGCTAGAAAGAAGATCGGAGGTGGCTGGAGGTCAGGTTGATTGCAAGTGGAATGGAGGTCGGCTAGCGAGGAATCAGAGGCGACTAGAGCGAGGAAGTTGCTACAGTGGAGGAGGAGGATTCCCTGGCGGAGATGGTGGGAAGAGGGGGGTTCATGGCGGCGGGAAACTTGGGGAACTCTGGATTTGGGAAAGAATCATCGGAATCAGAGTCTGGTGGGGTTGTTGCGGGTTGGCCGGCTGGGTCACAGTTGGAAAGAGTTGGGTTGGGTTAGGGAAACGAAGTGGCAATTTTTTAAGACATGGAGGGTTGAATTTGGTGATGTTGCAGGTTAAAACTAGGTTAGTAAGCACTTCTGTTAGCCACATCAGCAAATAACTGACGGTGTTAACGGAGGCTGACGGAAGGTAACGGAGAGTGACCAAACTTGAACTGTTTGATTAATTCAAGTGACTCAGAATGAAATTAAATATTTTTAATGACCTTACATAAACGTTTTTAGTAGTTCAAGTAACCTCAAACGAGTAAAGGCTAAATCCAGCCTAAAAATCACCACTTTCCGTCCACCATTTGGGCAATTTTCATTTTGGAATCGAACATTTTCATCCTTCTCTGCGTTTCACTGTGCCTGTAGCCATGGCGGACGACGCTGGCGGTGGCACTGCAAGTGGAAGTAGCAGTATAGTTAGTCTCTGCGGTGGTGGCTCCGACATAAGCGGGAGGCTCGGTTCGATGGACTCGGTGGAGTCACGGTGGGTCTTCCAAGACGACGACGACGACTCTGTCATTGACGACGACGAGGATGGTTTGCAGCATCGCCGCACTGGATTGGATTCCGAGGACGACGAGGACGAAGACGACAATGCGGAGCAGTGTCTGATCCGCACCGGGCCGCGGATCGATTCCTTCGACGTTGAAGCTCTTGAGATCCCAAGTGCCCAGCGAAGTGATTACGAGGTGCGGCATCATGTTGGGTTTTGGGAGATTTCTCTTTGCAGGAAATTTAGTCCTAATAGTTCTCTGTTGGGAAGTGGGAGAATCGTGAGCCGTGACTGATGTAAACTTTTACCTGAGTTTAGGCTTTTACTTTTTTGCTGTAGGGCTATCTTTCTAGATCAATAAAGATGGGAATCTGCTTGAACTTGAGGATTATGCATGTTGAAGCTTCCTTTAGTTCTCTCTGTTTTGGTCTGCTCCTGTTTAAGTCTCACTCTTCAGTTAGTCTTAACAAGTTTATGCCTCTAAGTGTATATCTATCATCCTATTTGCTTTCTGTTTCTATACCAAGTGCCATGATAGAAATTCCCTTTACAGCACTCAATAGCCCCGAGAGCATTGCTCTACGAAAGGGAGGAAGTTGTTCTTTTAACGTTTCATGTTCAATACAGGACTTCAGTGTGAGCAGGAAGATTATTCTTGCTTTTCAGACACTTGGTGTTGTATTCGGCGACGTTGGAACGAGTCCTTTATATGCATTTGATGTGGTGTTTACAAAAGCATCCATAAGTGGAGAAGACGATGTTCTTGGTGCATTATCATTGGTCCTGTACACGTTAATCTTACTACCTCTTGTCAAATATGTCCTTGTCGTGCTTTGGGCAAATGATGATGGCGAAGGTGAGTTAAATCTTATGAACTAGATGATCTCTCCTACCTATTTGTTCCATCTGTTATGCCTTGAATATTTCAAACTAGGAGTGGCTCAAGGTTATTCTTCAATGCTGCAGGAGGTACTTTTGCCTTGTACTCATTGATCTGCCGGCATGCTAAGGTTAGTCTCCTTCCGAATCAGCTCCCATCAGATGCTCGTATTTCAAGCTTCCGGCTGAAGGTCCCATCCCCAGAACTGGAGAGATCATTAAAAATCAAGGAAAGACTAGAGGCATCACTTACATTGAAAAAGCTGCTTCTCATCTTGGTGCTTGCTGGTACTTCGATGGTGATAGCTGATGGAGTAGTTACACCAGCGATGTCAGGTTTTACTCGCTGCTCTCTTATTCATCTAAAATCCTGGTTTCTAGAAAAATGTGCAAGTCGTCAGTTTTGAGTTCTGAGATAATTCCTGTATATGCGATTTTTTATATTCCAGTGATGTCAGCTGTTGGTGGTCTAAAGGTTGGTGTAGCAGCTATCGAGCAAGGTAACATAATCATCTCAATTCTACAAGTCCTTGCTTCTTCGCTGAGATTTTATATTTTCATCAGAAGACAGCTGACTTAGACGTTTTGGTGTCAACATTTACTTTCCTTTTTTCTTTAGGTTTCCTTATGAATTATTTCAGGTTCTGTCATTACTTCTGTCATGGTACTTTGTGTCTGCATTTGGCATGTCTAATCCCCTCAAACTAGGTATAGATGTGAGCATATTATGACTTCTACTTTTCTTTTATGCAGACCAAGTGGTGATGATTTCCGTTGCCTTTCTTGTAATTTTGTTTAGTGTACAGAAGTTTGGTACAAGCAAAGTGGGACTTGCTGTAGGTCCTGCTTTATTTGTATGGTTTTGCTCTCTAGCCGGCATTGGGATTTATAATCTTGTCAAATATGACAGCTGTGTATTAAGAGCATTTAATCCTGTTCACATCTATTACTTCTTCAAGCGGGACGCAGCTAAGGCCTGGCGTGCTCTTGGAGGTTGCGTACTATGTGCAACAGGTAAGTCCATCTTATGGAAATGCCAAGAACCACTTATTATTACACAGTAATGTATGTTGATATGTATTTAGGTTAAAGTACCCGTTTTGGTGTTCATATTTTGGCTTTGTGTTTGTGATTACTTTTTGCAACTGATAGATTCTTTTTTCAGGTTCTGAAGCCATGTTTGCAGATCTTTGCTATTTTTCTGTTAGATCAATCCAGGTAAAGCAAGGACAATCAACATTTGTGTTTCAGATACTCTGGTCTTTTGTGCCACTTTTTAAGTTCTGGCCATGGTTGCTTTTCTTCTGTGACTCTAATCCATTTAATAGTGGTCAATTGCAGCTTACTTTTGTATTTCTGGTGTTACCTTGCCTTTTGCTGGGGTATTTGGGTCAAGCTGCATATCTTATGCAAAATCATACTGACATTCTGGCTGAACAGGCTTTCTTTTCCTCAGTTCCAAGTGAGCTCTTGCATTCCCCTTGTTTCGTGGCCAACAATATCTGTGATAATAGAGATAATATTGATACGTGTTCCTTTTTATTTTCCTTTCGTTACTCGGTGGAACTAACCTGTCTCTCCTTTCGTGATTTAACCGTGGATTTAAAACTAATTGACTTCTTATGTCTGTAGGTGGGGTATTCTGGCCTATCTTCCTTATTGCTAATGTTGCTGCATTAATTGCTTGTCGAGCAGTGACAACAGCTACATTTTCTTGTATAAAACAGTCAACAGCACTTGGTTGTTTCCCAAGACTTAAGATTATTCATACTTCTCGAAAGTTCATGGGTCAGATTTATATTCCAGTCATTAACTGGTTTCTGTTGGTGGTGTGCATATTGTTCATCTGCTCCATTCAAAGCATTACTGAGATGGGAAATGCGTACGGTAATATATCCTTACTGCCAACATTTCTTGTCTTCCAACTAGGTTCTTTCTTAAATCTATTGAAACGACCATAAAACTGTACTCTCTGGAACACAAGAGAACTATAGGGTGGCTTTGTTTATTAGGTGGAAGTTGTTGAATCGAACAAGTCTTATCACACCTGCTCCAATGTTCTATGGATATTGTTATGTGTTGCCATGTCCTAGAATTTCCCCTCATACCTTTGGTGTTGATAAAGCTTCAGGATATGCTCTGGATATATGCAATTTGAGTTCAAATTTGAATCACAAGTTAGGAAAAACTCTTGCATGATCTTTTCAGAAAACAATGCACAGCTGATGAAATTATAGTTGTCCAGTCTAGTTCAGTTGAATACAAAACTTCCTTGTCCTGGGAATTCGACCACTGGATTTAATGAGGGTCTACTGATTCAAGTTCTTATGATCTGGACAAAGTCAGGAAAATGCTGGCAAATTAACGTTCCTACTTATTTGAGCATAACCATTGGCATTAATTTGTTATTTACAGGGATTGCTGAGCTTGGGGTCATGATGATGACAACCATTTTGGTGACAATTGTTATGCTCCTAATTTGGCAGATCAATATCTTTGTTGTGCTCAGCTTTCTTACGATTTTCCTAGGGATTGAATTGACATTTTTCTCATCGGTTTTATGGGGTGTGGGAGATGGAAGTTGGATAATATTGGTGTTTGCTGGAAGTATGTTCCTTATCATGTATATTTGGAACTATGGGAGCAAGCTCAAATATGAAACTGAAGTGAAGCAGAAGCTGTCAATGGATTTGATGTGGGAATTAGGGTCCAACTTAGGAACAATTAGAGCCCCTGGAATTGGCTTGCTCTACAATGAGTTGGTGAAAGGAATACCTGCTATATTTGGCCATTTTCTGACAACTCTTCCGGCGATTCATTCAATGATTATATTTGTGTGTATAAAGTATGTTCCAGTCCCAGTTGTCACTCAGAATGAACGGTTCCTTTTCAGACGTGTCTGCCCAAAGAACTACCACATATTTCGTTGTATTGCCAGGTAATGTGCTTGTTCGTTCATGACATTCGAAACCTATTCTCTTCAGTTATATCCATCTCTTATGATCGCTTAGTTGTTTTGCATAAAAACATAAAAAATAGGTATGGCTACAAAGATGTGAGGAAAGAGAACCACCAGGCGTTTGAACAGCTCTTGATTGAGAGTCTGGAGAAGTTTATCAGGAGGGAGGCTCAGGAAAGGTCGTTAGAGAGTGATGGGGATGATGATATGGAGACAGAAGATGATGATTACTCAAACAACAAGACAAGAGTCCTAGTTGCTCCGAATGGAAGTGTTTATTCACTTGGCATGCCCCTACTGGCTGAGTTCCAGGAAACCTGCAACAACAAAAACCGTGGTTCCATTGAGGCAAGCACTTACTGTTCTTCTCCTGAGGTTTTTTCGAAATCAAAGTCGTCGACAGATCCATTTGATCCTGAGCAGAGTCTTGATCGGGAGCTATCTTTTATTAGAAAAGCTAAAGAATCAGGGGTTGTGTATCTTCTGGGCCACGGAGATATTAGAGCAAGGAAGGATTCCTGGTTCATCAAGAAGCTAGTCATAAACTACTTCTACGCTTTTCTGCGAAAGAACTGCAGAAGAGGGATAGCCAATTTGAGTGTCCCTCACTCTAATCTGATGCAGGTGGGCATGACATACATGGTCTAACTTGGTTATGGAGTTTTTTTCACCAAGTGACTTGAGTGGTTGGTTCGAATTGTCGCACTTATTAGCCTGTTCAAATAGTTATGTGCTAATCAATGATTATTCGTAGTGTGTGTGTGGGTTCTCCATTATTTTATTAGACTATATGGACTAGGGATTACACGCGATTGCGGCAACAGCTGCTGGAACTGTCACCCATTTTCTCTTTCAGCATGTTTTAATATTGGTAGGTCAAGAGTGTCTTGTAATTGAATGGAAGCCGCTTGTGGCTGAATGACCCGTTTGTAAAATCAGATTTCATCAACAAGTTACTATTTCAAGTAGAGGATAATTGAATACAGCCTGCTATTTTCACGGTAGACGATGAGTGTATAAGAGACATGGATCGTGGGCACTAATGATTATCGTAACAAAATGGATGGAGATAGATGAGATAGAAAGGATTTAGGAATTTGAGATACAGAATTAGGGATTGATTGAGATTGAGAATGAGAATTAGAGAAGAACAAGAATTGAGAATTAGGGATTAAGAGAAGAGCAGAGAGAGACTAGAGACCAAATGATGTTTTTATTATTGATAGTTGATTAATTTTGAGGAAATGATTTAATAACATTATATAGACGCTGACGTGAATCCTAGTCGACTTATTATATTGAGATAATTGAAATATTCTAATAGAATAATTTAGGACTTTGCTACGGTGACTTGCAAGTCACCATGATTTGGACAAAATGGTCCAACTCTTCATTAATATGGTCGATCAGATGTACTATTTTCCATTTTTCTATGTTCAACAAACAATCGACCTTTTCCACTAAAAGGTCGGCCACTTTACAAGTAAACAGTCTATCACTTTCATCAAGTGGTCTACTTCTTTCATCAAGCGGTCCACTGCTTTTAATAACCGGTCGACTGGATGAACCATTGCTAGTGATATAATCATAAATAATTAGAGTAAAATAATAATAGATATGCTTGCTAGTAAGAGATTTAAAATTAGTACAAAGGCTCAAGCATAGATGACAAGTTTCTCGAATAATTATTCTCCCGTAGATTTGGAAAATGCTCTGCATATTTATTTCTTATATTTGACTTTTTTTTTGACGAAACGATCCCTTGCATTAAACAAGAATACAAAGTTACACATGACCTAGCTCCTGTCGAAGCCAGGCACAAAAATCGAAACCATTACAGCACGTAGGAAACAAAGACAGGGCCTTCTTAGCCACCAAATGGGCTACCCTATTGTTTTGCCTACCCAAAAACCTAATATGAAACCCAGGATGTGCGGACAGAAGATGGCGAATTTCTTCAAATATTGCCCCACCAGCAGCATCAGAGATGCTCCCTGCGTTGACCTTGTCAATGACAACCTTTGCATCCCCTTCCATCCATATAGCCTCAAACCCAAGGTGGCGACACCACCTGATAGCTCTGCCAACATGGGGTTCATAAGGCCATTATACGTGGATAACTCTGCCAACATGGGGTTCATAAGGCCATTATGCATCACACCCTTTGCTGCCAGCACCATACCCGCTGCATCGCGCAAAACCATTCCACCTGCTGCATGGGACCCCTCACGGACTGCTCCATCAAAGGAACATATAATTCCTCCCAACGAATCCCCCTGACCAATAGGCAAGACCATAGTCGGCGCCATAACGGGAACAACACCATCCCTCCTCACATAGTGCGGAACCTGCAACCACTCATTTACCTGAAAGTGGAACTCCTGTCTTAGGATAGATGGAAGGGTCTGTTGCCCCTCAAAAGCCACCGAGTTCCGACCCTTCCAGATTCTCCATAACAGGCACACCAACCGAACACACGAGAAGGCGAAGCATCGCGTTCCAGAAATCGTCGGAAAAAATCTCAAAACACCCAGTAGGGAGTATCTCTAACTCTGCAGCCAGACCCGCAGCCTCCCAAAGTCCTCGCGCTACGGGGCACTACAAGAAAAGATGCTTAGTAGTCTCCTTAATTGCCCAACAAACCGGGCACCGAGCAAGAACTAAAACCTTCTTTTCCAGCAAAGCCTCCATAGATGGCAAGATTCGATGCAGCAGCTCCCAGCTTAAGTTCTTATATTTGACTTACTCTATACAGACTCTCATCTTTCCTTCAAATTCTAAGTTTGCTTATTTTTTATCCAATCATTGTCTTGTGACCGGTTGCCTCAAGTGGTATACCATTTTCTTGCAAATTGGTTGACCACTTGGTGGAAGAGGTCGACCACTTGAAGGTAAGTGTTTCTTCAGGTCGACCCATTTTTGTAAGCGGTAGATCGGTTGACTCAAGTGGTGGACCACTTGGTGTAAGTGGTAGACCATTTTCTTAGAAAAAGTTCGACCATTTGGTGGAAGAGGTCGACCACTTGAACGTAAGTGTGCCATTAGGTCGGCCTATTTCCGAAAGTGGTAGACCAGTTGACTCATGTTATAGACCACTTGGTGGAAGAGGTCGACCATTTTTTTTGAAAGTGGTTGACCACTTAGTGGAAAAGGTCAACTATTTTCTCCCAAGTCACCATAAGCATACGCAATAATTTATGTTTCTAATATTCCTTCCCTTAAGACCATTTTTTTTCTTTTGACAAAAGATAATCATATATATTGATCAGAAAATAGATAATTACATCCTAGAGTTAACCAGGCCAAAAAATCAAAGAAACGACTCGTAGTCAGGTACAATTGAAGGGCCTTTCTAGCCACCAAGTGGGCTACCGTATTACTACTCGGACCTACAAATCGTACATTAAGCCCTGAATGATTCTCTAAACACTACACAACTTTCACAAGAAGGGCGCCAATCCGACTGTCCCTGGTGTCCAATTGATTGATTTTATCAATAATCACCTTGGCGTCACCTTCCAATCGCACCTTCGTAAACGCGGACATTAGGCACCCGAGAATCGCCTCCCGAAGGGCGAGCATCTTAGAAACCAAAAGATCATCAATTCGCATAAACTGAACCCCTTTAGCCAAGAGAACCTCCCCAGCTTGATTCATGATAACCATCCCTCCTGCCGAATGAGACTCATGCTTGGTTTCCCCATCCCACTTACATATAAAAGGACTAGGTTGTATAACCCCCAATGGATGGTCCAGGGATACGGGCAACCGCTAAGTCCTATCAACATGCAAGCTTATCCACTCCTGATACTACTGGTGGAACGGCCGCATTATCGTTGGGATCCCAAACCGCTTGCCTTCAAAGATAACCTAGTTAAGGGAACGCCAGATCCTCCAAAGGACCACAATGACCGCCATCAGCAGAGGAGGTTGATGTATGAGCATCATCAGCTTTTTTAGGAACAATGGGAAAGTGTGACGAGGAAGCCCTTGACCAAGATATTCAAGTCCTGCATAATCCGACAAGGCCCGAGCCACTATTCACTCAATAAACAAATGCTTCATTGTCTTCGACCCCGACCAACACATCGGGCACCTGGGGTGGACCTTGACATCATTTTCGATAAGAGTCTCCGTCGTAAGGAGGAGCCGTTTGAAAATCTGCCACAGGAAAACTTTCAGCTTGGGGGAATATTAGCATCCCACAATCTAATCCAGCTGGTTCTATCCATCCAACTAGCCATGGATCCCCAACTACCAACCTGTTTATCCAACTCGACTACCAAGTGGTAGGCAAATTTCACTGTAAAGGAAGCGTCAGACGTACCATGCCAGACTAGACGATCCTCAACATCATGGAGAGGAAGAGGGATTTCCTTGATAGCACGATAATAGCCGGGTCAAATAAATGGCTTAATTTTGAGTCACACCAGCAAATTTCCTCTGGGAAAATAATTTCTGCGACCGTAAGTTCATCATTTTATGGCAAGACCTGGGAATTATAAGTAGGAGCTAGGGGATGAATACGAGGCACCCAACCAGTATGAAGTAGTGGAGCTGTTTTTCCATTCCCAATTTGCCATCTTAGTCCCTGCACCACCAGTTGTCGGCCAAATAAGATGCTTTGAGCCCCAAGATTGACGAGAGCGTGCAGTAGCATCGAGGAAACTCCCCGTTGGAAAGTATTTCCCTTTATACACCTAAGCTAGAAGAGAGGTTGGCTCATTCAGGATATGCCAGCCAATCTTAGCTAACAACGCCTGACTGAAATGTTCAAACCGACGAAACCCCATCCCTCCATCGTGCTTCCTTCTGCACATATTCCGCCAAGATATCAATCGGATATTTGGTTTCCTATTCTCCACACCCGCACCAAAACCTGGCAATGTGTTTGTACAAGAGGCGACAAAGCGAGAGTGGTAGCTTGAAGCAGGACATAACATGTAATGGCAAGGCTAAAGCGACCGATTTAATCAAAGTCTACTTCGCTGCCCAAGACAGAGTCCTCTGCTTCCATCTGTGAAGCCGAGCCTATAACTTCTCCTCCAAATATCTAAACGTCGCCATTTTTTACTAAGCTATCAGGGTAGGTAGCCTTAGATATTTATCCTGGACTCCCACAGCCCCAACCCTGAGAATCCGCGCTAGAAATTCCTGGCCCGGTAGAGCGATATTCTTACTAAAGCATACCATTGACTTTGCCAAGTTAACCCTTTGGCCACTGAGTTCCTCATATTCATTTAATACCGTGATCAAATTCTCACATTCCTATTGAGAGCCTCTAAAGAATAAATAAGAATCATCGGCAACAAATAGATGCAAGATCCACGGAGATCGAGGGGCTACTTTGACCCCTTCCAGTTTTCCTTCCGAAATGGCCTTCCGCAGGAGAGCTGCAAATCCCTCCGTGCAAATCACAAACAGGAGAGGAGATAGTGGATCCCCCTACTGGAGACCTCTAGATGGAATAAAGAACCCTTAGATGTGCCATTCATAAGGACCGAGAAAGACGTCGATCTGAGACATTCATGCACCCAGCTCCGCTAGATCGAAATAAAACCCATCTTGTCCAAAACCACAAGTAGAAAGGGCCATTTGACTCTATCATAGGCCTTTTCCATGTTAACCTTAAGAGCCATGTACCCTTTCTTTCCCCGCGTTTTGATTTTCAAGTAGTGCATTAACTCATGCCCAAGAAGGACATTCTCCACTATTTGCCATTCCCAAATGAATTCATTTTGGCCTTCCGAGATGATCTGCGGCAACAGGTGATAACACCTAGGGGAATCTCACAACAGGAAGATTACACAATCGTTATGTCGATGCCTTCGATGTGATTGAGCATGAGTCCTCAATCAATAGGCGAGGGTCAGCAAGCTTTGATCGCTACCAAAACCAAAGTAAACTCACAACACACAAGTTGGGAATTTTGGGGTTTTCTTATCCATTCAACTCTCAAATTTACAATACATGAACGAGGCCTTTTATAGGCATAAACAAACTTAAACAAACCTAAACACGAATTGAAATTAACCTAATTCAGCAAGGAAACTAACTTAAACAAGTAATCCGAATCCTACTCGGAATCTTAATGGCTTGCGGATCGTGGGAGTGCGAAGTAGCATCTTTGAGGGCCTCGCAAAATGAACTTCCCAAGTTAGTCTTCTTCATCAAATTCCTGCCCTTTGTTTAGAAAGTACTCTTCTTTCCATGGGAACTCGAATTAGTCTCTGGTTGTGTCCCAAACGCCAGCTATTAAGCTCCAAAGTTGGCACCTTGATCACGCTATTGGCCTCAGAGGGCTTCAATCATGGTCTTCCAGGCTTCCATTGGAACCTCTAAGCTTTCCAGCTTGCATAGGATTACTCCGTATTCAAAAAAGCCATCAAACTCGCATTTCCATTGAAGGATTTGATCAAACCAAGCCCCCCAAGTTGGTAACCTGAAACACAGAAAAGACTTAACCAAAATCAAAATTCTTTCTTCCTTGTGAAAAGAACTTCTTGATCAATCCATGAATGCTCAAAGGTTAAGCAATTTGGGATCATATCAGCCCCCCTATTAAAAAAGCTTTGCCCTCAAAGGTTGAGCCTTATTAATCTCGAAATCGTCACAAAATTGATCCCAAATTGGGTCCAAAATAGACTGGTTGGGCACCTTGTTATGGAAATCCGGAGCACTTTTCTTCGTCGAACAAATTGGGGCTTTTGTACATGGGGATTTCTAGCTTGATTCATTACTTCCCAAAGCTTCGTTGGGCATCCAATCGAAGTTCTGTACTGACCTGAAGCTTCGATTCATCGCCATCTTCCTCGAATTGATGAAGTTCTGTTTCCCGCCATCGTCGTCATTTGCACTCGGCGAACCCAGAAATCCAATTCAAAAATTGGGGATTTTTGATTCAGGGATTGTCGAGTCCAATTGATGCTTCTTACAGATTCCCAGGACCATCCTCGACGATTATGTATCTGCAGTTTGGTCTGAATCGTCCCCCGAGCTCTTCAACCAATAGCCTCGATTTGGGATCATATCAACTGCAGGCCAGTCTTTTAGGAGGGATGGCAAAAATATCAGTAACCATGGATATCCGCCCAAATCCGACCTAATCGGGGAGGATAAAACCCGAACCCGAATATTGCTGATAATGGTGGGCATGGTTTTTTCACTATCCAACTCGAACCCGCCAGATTATACACATGCATATGTATTTGTCTAGAACTAATCATTATTTTTCTCTAACATACTTTATATTTAGCATATAAATTTAATATTTTCATGAAATTGGGTTGTTTTAATTAATTTTCTTCATTTTAGTGAATTATTGTTATACTTTTTCTACCCATTTCTTATGTGGGTATGGGTATGGGTAAAACCCGAACTACTATGGGTAGGGTAAAGGATATTCACTATCCGTCCCTGACGCGACCCATTGCCAACCCTACTTTTAACAATAATTTTGGTTATTACTGTATAGACAAACTGGCATAAGCTAATGGGTCGATTTGCTTCATGGTCTCCATATTCTCCAGTTTCGGGATCAACATCAGCCAAGTATGATTAAAGCTATGAAGCATCCTACTTGTTGAAAAGAACGAGCAGACCGCTACAGTCACCGAGTCACC